CAAAAGCTTTAACTAAAACCCAGCCTTGGAAGATTAGCTAGATGTGGATAATAGGTTGAAATATTTCGAAGGATTATAGGAAATACAACGCTACAGAGTGACCATAAACACTTGCTGTGGCAATTACAGTAGCTGTGAAGCCAGCGGTGCTGAGGATAACTCCTAAGACCTGAGATGGATGGAGTAGTCAGCTGTGCGTTTGCCCCATCGCCAGCAGGTGATGCAGAGCTGTAATACTGCCTGGCCTCATCGTTGGAGGATATTTGTTTTGAAACTGGAATTAGTCATCCTAAAGTAGGCAAACACAGTCCCCTTGGGAATGTGAAGTTCAGTCCTTGCCCTGCAATGCAGAGGCTGCAGGTCTGTAGAGTAATTTAACATCAGTTAAGCAGAGGGGGAATTAATGGTTTCCCAGAGCCTTCTCTGTAGCAGATGCGGAAACAGACTTTCACGTTCAATAGGAGGGAGCTGGGGGAATTGGAGGCTGCTAAGAGAGCTCGAATGGGTCTTACTGGGGATGGAGCCGATTCAGAAATAGCCAGGAAGACAACGTGTTTCTAGGTAGATGAGGTGGTAAGTGGTAAGCTGGGTCAGAGAGGTGGAATTGTGCTGAGGGAAGTGCTCTCTAACGCCATTTGAAGAAGAGAAATCTTTATCCTGTTTTGCCCTGCACAAAAGTGTTCTGGTGAGTTAGTCTGAAAAAGTCCGTAGGTGAGGGGTGGAACAAAACCATTTTATTTCACTTGTAAAATGTGTGTCTCGACTGAATGTCCTGCTCTGGGGCAGGTGTTACGAATTTACAGTTGCAGTAGGGTCTGTGAGAGCAGGAGAGGTTTGGGGGCTTTTGGAGAATGGTACCAATGCACCTGGAATCCTGAGTAGCTTTTGAGGTGGAGAAATACTCAGGTTTTTAGACCTGTAAGGTCAGTTTTCTTCCTTCTGGCCTGAAAAGTCTTTTGCGTAAGCTCAGGAGAGTGGATTTTTGTTTGCTTTGGGGCTTTTTTTGAAAGTTGACTCAGTCATCTTTATGACCCAGGCAAGCTCCATGGCTCCAGCATCCAGACTGGCGCTGCGAGACCCCGGAGGTGTGTATTTAGGTTGCTGGCAAAGCCTTGTGACCTTTCTGAGTCATTTCACAGCTTGAGACGGCGGCAGCGGATAGGAGAGTGTGCTCCTTGTCACAAGGACAACTTTCACCTGCAGCGTGGCAATTTCAGCGGTGTAGCTCTGTTCACACCTAGCCTTACACCAGAAGTCCCTAATCGATGTCTCTGCTTCTCATTACTGCTTGAAGTGGTTAACTGTGATTAACAGAGCAGGATCTCTCTGGCTAGCATGGTTTCTAATCATGAAGATAGATAACTTCAACTTCCTCACAAACTTAAACAAGTTTGGCTCTATCCCTAGGACAAGGGGTCGAAAAGTTGCATTTACTTTGCAGGCAATTAATGAGTTTTGCCTAATTTAGAAACCTCCTGGTGTTCTTGGATAAGTTTGGATTCCAACTCGCTGCCTTTTTTGCAGTGCAGATTTTTCTTCAAACCTTGCATCTGAACGGCCTGATTCTGTGCCAGCGGATTGGGCTGTGGCTTGGTGTCTGTGGAGAGCGGGGTACGTGTTTGCGGGGCTGGGTGGATGGGTGCTAGAACCGACTGTAACATCCAGGATGTGCCGTAGGGATGAGCCCAGCAGCTGCTTCCGACTGTGCTGTGAAGGCTGTCTAGCCTTGGGTGACGGTGACACTGTGGAAATGAGACAATTTGGCGTGTACAGATGTCTGGGAGGTGCTCTGTGCTCTTCTGGCACCCGTGCTTGGGAAAGATTGACGTTTGCATGGGAGAGGGGGTAGAAGTCTTGCCTACTTTTGGAAGAACAGTACCGAGTCCATCGCTGGCTCGGCTGTGCTGGGGACAGTGCTGGAGGCTGTATGGCACAACGCACCCCCGGAGTAGTGAGCACTCAGTGTTTCTTCCAGGTCAATCCAGTTTTCCCAGCAGCACTGCCAGAGTTCCTACTTTCCCCCTCACTGCCAATTCCCAGAGCTTTTCCTACAAAATACAGCTAAATAGGTAGGGTGGGAATAAGTGACTGCTGAATCACTGCCCAGATGTCTGCACCAAGGTACCCCCCTGCCAGTGCCCTGTATTCTGTCTTTCTCCTGCTTCCATCTCCTCCAGGCACGCTTGGAATAACTCTGTTTCCCTTCAATCCCTGTCTGAGACCTCCTAGCCCAAGGGCTAATTTCTACTTGATTCCTCCTCCTCCCTTCCCCAAGCTAAACCAGCCCCCTCCATGCCACCCCAGGTCCTCTCCTGGGTCCCCTGGCTTCCTTGCCATTGTCTCTCGGGCTTCATTGAGCTGTGCTGCTCCTTCTTGTGCCCTGTTACTGGGAGGGTTAGAGTAAACGTGCTTGGAAACCTGAAGGATGATGTTTGTTGGTTTGGGTTTTTTTTTGTCTGTTGGTTTTGAATTCTCCCCAGTTGTACTGAATTTGGTGAGAGCTGCTCTGGCTGCCCTGCACAGTAATGGGTGTAGGTCGATCACTGAAGGTTGGGTCTGTTGTCAATGGAGAGATGTGATTTATATTGACTTCTCCCTCAGACAGTTGGACAAGTCTCTTTTTTTAAGGGAAAACATTGCCTTTTTGTGAAAGAAAAATTAGTGTATGTCATATAAAACTCCAAGGAAATTTCAGGCCAGTTCTTAGCTCTGATCCCAAATTGATGTTCCTTCGACGTTGCCATGACTGCGACAGAGTGACTCATCCCGTTATGGTTAGCAATTTGCTTGTCTTACAAAGTCACCGGGGAAATAATTTTTCCCTATCTATACGTACCAAGGCTGTAAGCTTTGCTCTAGCAAACAAGACAAACAATATTTCCTGGTAATAGAAGCAGCCAACTGGAAAATGAGACCAATAGGTTCTATTCTTAGTTCCATCATTAACCTTGGACATTTTCTTTAACTTAGGTGGAGCTCTCCTTAGCTGTCTCTAAAGCAGAAAAAGTTATAAATACAGGAGATGGTTTTAGTAAGTAATTAAAATTCTGACGTTTAAAGTGTTTCAGAAGTGTAAAATGTTCATAACACCTCCCAAAACTGCTTAGGGAAAGTTCTAGTGTGCAGATACAGGTTGTTAGGTGAAGGCATGGGAGCTGGATATAGCGAACGTTCTTGGGAGGCAGGTTGTCTCCCTTAGGAAGAGCAATCATTCTCATAATTTTTAGTGAGAATTCACTCTGTCCCTCCCTGCTCCCTGTAGTTGGGGAAATTTTGCGTAGCTACACCCAGCGCCAGTTATTAAATCCCAGCACTGCAGATCTTGGCGTTGTTAAAGTGGTAACGAGTCTGCTGGGTCATCATCAGCTCTTGTTATATTTTGGATAAATGGAAGCATTTTAGATCCCGTGTGAGATTCCAGGATAAGGAAGGAGGCTGAGAGCTCACCTGCGGTCAGGACCTGCCGTCGTTCTGCCATCGCTCGTTAGCGTCAGCGGTCGTGCTGCATCGGTGCTCTGGGGAAGCGGGCATGGACAATGTGTGTCCGCTGTTGGGGCAAATAAGAGAAACTTGAAGCTGGTCTTGGATCACTGAGGAGATAGTTGATGTGGTATCTTTAGGAACTTGCAGTTACAGATATGGGACAGAAATTACTGAAATAAATTTGTTTAGCTCTTGCTCTGGCATACCTCACGCTGTGTTGGAAGCTACCCGTTTGCTCTGCCCCCTTCTTCCTACAGACACTTAAACAACTCTGGTGCTTATTAAAGCTATGGAGTTCCATTGTCTAGGGCAATTTATTGGGCTGGGTTGGTTGGTTGGTTTTTAAAGCAGGATATATACATGATTCTGATGGGCATGCTGACCTGTCTTGATGCTTACGTGGTCTTTTATTTGAAAGTTGCATCTTGAAGTGCCTGTTCTTATGGGAACAGTGTGTCTGTCTGTCCAAAATCCAAGGCAGCCATTTGCTGCTGCTTCTTTAGCTTCTTAAGAGTCTGGAGAACTTCTGTTGTGGTAGTTTTTGGGGTGGGTTTTTTTATGTCCTCCTGAAGATTAGAGTTCTTTTGACTTTAAATTATTTGTCTGGGGGATAGTATCTAATGATTGCTCTATTAATTCTCTAATGCATTTAAATATCTCTTTTCCTCATTTGGTAAAACATTTGCGCATAGGTTTTCAGAATAAATGATGCATTTTCCAAGTCTGTCACTCCTTGGTATTGCAATTATTAGTCTTCTGCTACACTGCTTGTTGGGAATTATTGATTGTTCATGTTGGAGAGAAGCTTGTCAGTTTTCAGATATGCTTGGCTATTTGAATATTGGTTTATATTGATATAAGTCCTGTTGGAAAAAAGCTGGGGGAAAAAGGTACCACGCAAACCTGATTTGGGGGGAAAAGCAATTTCTTAGATAGTTTGTTCTGATTCTGTAGGTGTTTAGTGTGTATGTATCCCTTTTATTCAAGGTGGCTTAAATTGCTTACTGTAAATGCTGACTAATTCACAGGGGGTGGGTGGTAGAAGGAAGTTTGGGGGGGGGAATATGTTTGAGTACAGACTTGAACCTCTTTGAGCCCTTAGTAGCTGCAGAAGGTGAAGATGTGCAACAGCCACTGAATAGTGAGAGTGACTGAGAGGTGGGAGCGTGCCGCAGAGACAAATGAGGGGAACTGAAATTGCAATTTGACACGGTTCCCAAAATAATTGGATTTTTTTCTTTTGTTCCCAAAGCAAGTCAAATACTGCTGTAGTTTGTTTTGTTTTCTTGTTTTTCTGGATTAGAGTAAAATAAGGTAAAAGAAATCAAGTCAAATTATCAGTCACCTTACGTTACAGCCAGGAAAGAAGCTACGGCTACAAAACCTTGTCTCTGCATGGTTCAACTCGAGACAACATCTTACAAAAGTTTGAAAGTATCCATTTAGATGCACTATTTTTTTAGTACATTCTGCCTGAATGTTTGTTTCTTTTCTTCTTCTTTCTCTCCCATTGCTAGGTTGTGACTAGACTTATTCACTTGCTGGGCGAGAAGATTCTTGGCAGTCTTCAGCAGGGAGGTAAGACTCATTCCTGGGCTATTCCCATTGATGCTGGTGCTTCCTTGGAGCTAGATTTACATCGTGAAATCTGGAAACAGAAAGTGCATACCTAAAAAGAGAATTTGTCGCTAAATATTTTAGCTGTTGTCACAAGTGAATGGTGATTTTATCATATATATGTGTACATTTTTTTTTTTTTTGGCAGAGCATGGTTAATTAAGTGTGGGAATGGAATGATTTGCAACTGAGATAGATAAGTACTGCTTGAAATTTCCTGCAAGAGAAGAGCTCAACGGGAACGTTGGAAATAGCAGCTGTAATCGACTTGAATCAGATAGTCATGCTGAGTGGCATCTGCATGTAGACTGACTTAATAAGTCTGTATTTGCATTATCTTAATGAGTTGTCTGAGGGGAAATGGTCTGCTCTGGGTTGGTTCTCAAGCTTTGTTTATGTGGCAGAGGCAAAACAAAATATGTTTACCGATTGAATAGAGTAGGAGGAGATTTTCCAAATTTTCTTGAGCAGCTTTTAAAAGAAAACAGATGCACTTTAACTACTGAGAGTGTTGTGGGGTTCTTTGCTGTTCTGGGTTTTTTTTGGGGTTTTTTTGGTTGGGGTTTTTTAATTACTTTTATTGCTGTTTTTGCAATAATCCAAGGAGACTGAAATGAGGTAGCCAACTCTCATGTTTTGGAACAGTCTTGGGGAGCAAATCTCAAAGTTCACTCCTTCTTTCCGGGCTCAATTTTCTGTACACAATCGATTGGGTACGAATCTCTAGTGATAATTGTACTTAAATGCTTTTGTGGCCTAGGGACTAGGCACTGCTTGGGAAGTAGGGCAATACAGGATCTGGAGAAAATGGGAGGAAAATTAGTGGCAGTAATAGGAGTTCAATCAGAGAATCACTGTGGAAGTTCTGAGGAGGGAAGGATGGATGGAGATGAAGGGGTTGAGCAGTGATGTGTAACTTGTTTGAAGCTACAAATATCTTCTTGAAGATCACCAAAAAGAGTGGAAAAACTATTTAGTGTTCTGTGCAGAGCTATTTTAGAAGACTTGAAATGAATAACTCAGTCGCTTGAATATATTTGAAAAAAGTTTATCTGATATTTCTTTGTGTCCTGCAGTGTACTGTCGATTGTGCACATAGACTTTGAATGAGTTTTCATCTGGTATATCAAGTACTTCCATGTGTCCATCTCAAGAATTCCTCTTAATGGTGCATCTTAAGCCTTTGCTGGGTGAATGGGATAAGCAGGGCATTAAATCCTAACTTAGATGACGATAAGTTTATTGTGTACTTAGAACTGAGTTGATAGGCAGCAAAGTAAGGCTGTCTGAGAAGGTTTAGTTAAAAAGAAAAGAAATAGTGTCAAAGTAAAAAGAACAGTTTGTAGAACACTCCTATCATTGATCTCTTCCTGTTCTAAGCTATCTGGGAAGATCTTAATCTTTGTCGCATGCCTTGCATACTTCTGTCAAAAAATGCTTTCCTCTGCCCATACTCTTTGTCCTTACTCAGCTTATCATATTATATTGGAGATACTTCCACAGTTACTTTGCAGCTACTTCAGAGCTTCCAGATTTTATTTTAATACTCCAAAGCACGTATCTGTAAAGCTCCACGTTTTCCCATCTTGGAGAGAAGTGAAAATAGGTGGAGATACACATTCCCTATAGGAACTTTGTTGAAAATAGGTATTTATTTCCTTGATCAGGAATACCATAAAAAGTGAATGTTAATTTTTGGAAAGTTTTGATACTGACAACAGGTTTTTGGGTTTTCTTAGTTAAGCTAATTCCTCTTGGGGGCTAAATCAATGCCTATTCCAAAGTTGTGGCTATTCAAAGTGCCTTTTTATCTTTTCCTTAACAGGTCAGGTAAGTGCATGTTGCATTTAACCTGATCCTGGCATCCAGATATTTTTAACACTGCCTAACTTCTACCCACGCATGCTATGAGAGCAGCCAAAAATGATGGAAATTGATCTTCGCCCTCTTATGAATGAAATATGTGGGCACTCTTCCCTTTTATGTGATATGGACGATGTTACATTTGTCTTAGGTTAAGCAATTCAGTGACACTTTCCTTGCTGCCTGACAGTTGAAAACAAGGAAATGAGCCCTGGCTTTCTTGGTTGGCTGATGGCAAGTTTTTTCTTTTCCAACAGGTCATCCTCTTGGATTACACAGCTCGAGTAGCAAGTGGGATGCCGGAAATCCTGCCAGCAATCTCTCCACAGTAGCAATTATGCCGGTGTCTGAAGAGGTGCCACTTACGGCTTTTACTCTGGAGCTCAAGCATGCTCTGAGTGCTGTGGGTAAGAAGTGTTTACATGTTACTGCATCACGCGAAATCAATTATTCTTGTCTTTTTAGAGATGTATGGCCAGGTACCTGTCTTAGTCAAAGGTGGATTCATGCTGCATTAGGAGGGGGTAGTTGTACAGCAGTGCTCAGGATCAGCCTTTTTCGTGATCTCTTGCTTCTTTGTTCCCATCCCTAACGTGCATTTAAGTTTAGCGGAAAACTTTGTGGCCTTAATGACTCAGAAATATTAGCCAACCTGTCTGGCCTCTCACCTTGGCTGCCATCAGCATTACTAAGGCTGCAGGCACTCCAGCCAACAAATCCCACCTCTGGTGCACTGTTCCCACGGTGCCCATCAGGGTCTGATTCTCTTTCCATGTGTGAGTCTTTCGGGCTTCCTCAGTTGTACAGCTTCATCCAGCAAAGAATTTCTTACGCCGTTGTCTTTTGTGGAGATAGTGCAGTGAGTGGTAAGTGTAAGACTTGATGGAAGAGGCTTGTAGAGGAGATCCAGGTTGGCACTGGAAGTCCAAACTTAAGTCTTAAATCATTGTCCTATTTGTTGTCAGCTTGTTTGTCCATCTTGTGCTCATGAAACCATGTATTCAGCTCGCAGCTGAGTCATTAACTGCTTTATCTGTTGGTGAAGTTGTGTGTGCAAGTTCCAGTTGCTCACAAAACCGTGTATTTAATTCATGATTCAGTTCAGTTCAGGATGACATTTCCTGAACATCCTCTTCTCATCCTCGTACACCATCACAGATCTCTTGAGTAAATCTCCTGTAGTTCTTTGATGAATTGTTAGTCTGCTATCTCAGGGCTTATTTTGAAAAGTACAGGTTACATGATGCTTGAGGTATAACTGCTTACATTTATTGGTTATTTCCTTTTTGACCTTAAGGGTATCTGGATCTGACACTTACTATTCTGCTTTAAAAGTCTAGGTGAGCAGGCACAGGAAAAAGCTGTTGATGCTTCGACTCTTTAACCTTTTGAAATATGAATTTGTGTGCAGCTTATGCTGGAGATGTGTTACAGTGAGAACTAATTTGGGGGCGTTTGAAGATTCCTCTTATTTTGAGAAGGCAGAAAAATTTTACATCCATAACAGAGCACAGATCTCAGCCGTAGCTATATTGCTAATGGGTACTTCTTATGGATTGTTGCCAGCTTGTTTTGATGTGTGACAGCACTAGGAGCCTGTAAATAAAACAAACAGAAACTGAAGTAGAGAGATGGACTATTTGGAACAAAAATAACCATTCTAGTTGAAAGCAACTAGAACGTGACAGAGATTTTGTTACGATCACTTGGCCTTTCCTCGTTCACCCTTCTTTTTTCTTTTCTTTTCCTAAACTGATGTCTGTGTAGTGCTTGGCAGCTATAGATGGTACTATACAACCTTGGCATCTGAAATAGTTGCCAAAATGGAGCAGACGGCTGCAGTGGGAAGAGAAAAGTGTTGTGTGAAAACACAGCTAGCCATATGGTTCAAAACACAGCTGGTAGACCAAGCTCTCTGGCCTTGATAGCCTCTGTTCGTTGGGTCAGCCTATTGCTTATTCGGCCCCACAACGCCCCGAGACAGTGGTTAACCTTCTGCCAGTGCTTTACTCTGTGTGTTTACAGGCTGTACAGTGCTGAGAGGGGTTCATGCAGGATGTATTGTATTTTTTTTATTTAGCAGAAGCAGCATTCCCTTTTTCCTTTTTTTTTTTTTTTTGGTAGCTTTTGTATTTTCTTCTTTATACTACAGCTATAAATTATTTGGGTATTCCTTACCGGTGCGTGACAAAGTGCTGCGAGCGATGTGCCAGATGGTGCTTTGCTATAAGGAAAGGGGCTGGTTTTTGGAATTATTTTTCTTCTGACTTCTTGCATCAAAAAAATGAAATGAGTAGTGAAGTCGGTGTTGTGAAGCAAAATTTCGCCTTATTTTTAGATTGTCTTGGTATTCATCAGACCGTTAGAACTGGGGCCATTTTACATGGTGGGGGGAGGAATTGAAACGTTGGGTGAAAAGATTTGCATGAGGGCCTTGGTGAGCAGCCGGCGTGTTAGAGCATGGTGCCTCTGCCACCTGAGCGCTCCCCGCTTCTAACTTTCAAATTGGCTAATTAGCACTTGGGGCTTGGGTGTGAACTGCGAATAGACCTTAAATGCATTTATGGAAATGAGAGGTGTCATTTAATATGCTGGAGAAGGCTTAATTGAAAATCTTTCTCTTAAGGAAGTCTCTTTCAGTGTGTATGTTCTCAGTTTTGAAAATAAGGGGTTTTGCTGGTAGATTTGCTGCTATTAGCATATTTTTGCTGTTTATTCTTTTGTATTTTCTTGGACTGACTTTTTTTTAATTGTAAATTGTAATCAGATGTTGCCATTTAACACTTGACTTAACATTTGATCCATATTATTTCATTGCTCTGGGCTTGAAATATGTTCCAGAGCAGTGGAGGGTAGCCTTAGTGTGTGGAGTGAAAGCAGTTGTTTTTAGCTTGCTTTTGCAACCTAATATATTATCTTAGAGAATTCCTTACTCTTCCTGTTAATATTAACTCAGATGAATATTGCAGTGATGCCTTGAATCCCCTTGCTGGAGGCTGGAGACAAGCGGATAGAAGAAATTAGGAGGATGCAGGCAGTAATACTGAGATCGTTGCAAGAATTATCATGAGATATCAGCTGCTGCAATTTTTGGGAGAAGGCTGTGCTCGCTGTGGGCTGCCCCTCATCCTGGGCAGAGTCATCGGGATGCAGGCTGGGTCGTAACACAACCTGCAAAATTAGATGAGAGTGTGGGTTTTCTTTTCCTGGAGCTGCCATTAGAAGGTTATTGGCAGTGCTAGGACTTGGAGCTGGTTGCAGGTTAATCTGTTTAACAGGATTTTATATTTTTTTTGGTAATTTTTAACTGCTGCCAACTTATTAAAGGAGTGTAAAAATAATGACAAATAGAATATATCAGTCTGATAGTGGAAGCTTTGTAATGCCATGAATTAATATATACTGTCCACAAGAACTAGAAAAGTATTCAGAATCTTTCCCCCCCAAAAAAACACTTTTGCCTGTAACGAGGCAGGACTTATTGGTTTGGTTGCTTGATTCTGTTATGTAGGTTTAATTATATTTTTTTCAATTTTTTTTTTTCTTTTTTCCCATGTCAGTAATGGGAACACCTCAGACAACCAGGCTGCTCTTTGTACTGGGCTTGCTGGGCCCCAGAGCACACTGGCCAGGTTGAGCTTGCAGGGAGCATGAACATCTAGTACCACCCATGGCTTTATCCAACCGATTTGTCCTGATTTCTTTGAGATTTGGTGTTTCTGTGGTTTATTATAATTCAGATATTGTTTCCAGACAGTGTGATTGTATCCCAATTAAATTCTAAGAGATGCTCATGTTTCCATGGAGTTTGCTCTGTTAAAAGCTGGACAGTGAAGCAGTTAGTTGGTACCTGGCGGCAATAACTCTACATGAATTTGCCTTCATCTTGAGCGAGGGATAAATGTAAAATATGATCTGAGCGTTGAGGAGAGAGCAGGGAAGTCCTGCCGAGCATGGTGAGCTGGAGGCTACATCACTGCTTCCTCACTCCGTGTGCTTGCATGCTTCGGTGTGAAAGCCTTTTCTTTGGATCTTCGTCTTTGGGTCTCCAAAGAAAGAGGATGTAGAATATAAAACTTCCAAAAACCAGGGACAGAATTTTCCCCTTCTGAACCGGAGTGAAATGAAGGTGGGCAAGTTTTACTGCTCTGCAGTTTCAGGTTAGGATAACAATGCCCATGAATTCCGGTCAATGTTTGTGATGTCTATTTTTATTATTGAGTTTTTCTTTTTTTCCCCCTTAATCCTGGTAGAGCTGAGAACATCTCTTACCAAAAAGCTATTCTGCAGTACTCAGGTTTTTTAAACAGTATTTGCCTAACTATTTTTTTTTTGTTCTTTTACTGAGACAAGCTAAATGATACCACATGGCTGTGCGAATTCTGATTATATGTGAGAGCCCTCGGATCGTATATAATTTCAAACTGAAGTAGAGAGGGATTCAAATCCAACATATGTGTCTCTCTTCTTCCTTTCTGCCCTTTAAATATGAGCTTTCTTTTAATTTCTAAAAATGTATAATGTATTGGAAAACTCACTGAAATGCCTTTGCTAATAATTTATTGGAGCTTTTGATTGTAGTTCTGCCTGACTTTCCCTTCTTTACATACAGATTAGATTTAAATGTGCAATGTTTAATGTGGTGACTGGACCCCGACACAATATGGTATTTTTTGCTGGGTGAGATCTTCTGACATTGAGACATCAAACTCGTTTATCAGTTCTGTCTCTTGGACACATAATTTGTAGACTTTTATTAGGCCAAATATAAATTCTCTTTTGATGAAGCCCAGGCAAGTAATTTTGCTGTGCTAAAATTTTTCCACAGTGCATTTTGTACGGGACGTATCTTTTTCTGCAAGTATTTTTTCCAGGTGAGATGGATTTGCAACCATTTCTAAGTATCAGAGATCACTCCTTGACCTCTGGGGCTCTGATTTCTCTAGGCAACTTTTGGACCATGTTTTGTTACACTTAGAACTAGGATATCTATATTCCCACTCCTGCATATCTTATGAAATTGATATTTTGTGGAAAAAAAATACCAAAGTGAGTATGCTCATCTTTGGAAAGAAAGGAAGAATTTTATGTCTCGTGTGAAGCTTATGTCTCCTTACTGGGGCAGGATTTGAGCTTGGAAGCCTTGCTGAAGGGCTGTCTCAACTCTTTTCTTGAGTGCCTTTTAGTCTTAAAAGATAAAATGAACTAGACCTCTGATATTTGCCAGCATTTTTTTCTCCTCGCTTCTCTTTTACAGAACTGTAGTTCTGTACTGAAAAACAGATGAGACTGGAGTACCGATTTAGATGCTCCATGAGGTTTCCCCATGAATCATGATCCTCTGTGCCTGGGGGTAAGACTGCTGCCATGCAGTTTTCTCACCTGAAGCGCGTAAAAGCTGAGATTCAGAATCCCAGCAAGTTCACCAAAAGAAACATCCCTCAGGGACTATTAAAAGTCACCACCTCTGGCTTGAGAAATTCATGAACTGCGAATTGCTGGAGGCTTGGAGAATGCCATTAAGTTTTCCTTGCTCTAATACTCTTCCCCAGCAATCTGGTGCTAGTTGCAGTCAGAGAGACACTATTGGGCTTAGATAAATATTTAATGTTACCTTGTATCACCTCTCCTATGTTCTTAACTTTGAGCTATTCACCCCACGTCTAATCCTACTGAAAGAGAACAGTCCCTGAAGGGTGCAGGGGGCTGCTGGAGGAGGATGGAGGGATGTTTTCCTGATGCCAGCTGCAGCTGTAAATTGCCTGCCAGGCTGATGTCAGGTGTGGAGAGAACATCACTAGATGATGGTGTGTAACTATGATAATGCACGTTGAGGATGAACTAACGTCGTCTCGGACACTCCTGCCTACTGGTGTGGCTGTTCAAGGGGTATGTACTTGAGAATGACTTTTTTATTTTTTTTTTTTCCTTTATTTCCTTGCTCTCAGCAGTTTAACACTTTTGGTCATTCTGTTTTATGAGAACACATATGTTGGTGTTCTTGATCACATTAATGGGGGGTTATTTAATGCTTGATTAATTGGGAGCTTGCAAGAAATTCGAAGTGTGGAGCAGATGGTTGTTATTTCTTAATCAGAACAGAGTTGGTTCAGTTGGAAGCATCACCATGTTCTGTGCTGGGGATGAACAAGGGTCTGGGGACACTGGGCAGACTCCTCCCAAGCCAGCAGAGCTCTGTGTCTGTCTGTAAAAACTCGTTTGTGTCGTGTACTGTGAACTGCTGCTTTTCCAAATACAAAAGTGAGGTGAGTGGGCATGATTTCTGAAGTCTCATGCCTCTCCAAGGCTCTTTTGATGCTTGATGGGGGTGTGTTGTCCCCATTCAGGATATCTGTGGGTGAAGTAGCCATCACCTTGACTAACATAAAGACCCAGCTCTACAAAGTCGGCCTCTTGCCTTGTGTAGAAGGTGTTCTGGCTGGCAGGGTCACTGGGTTTAATGGTTTCCCCTTAGGGCATGGGCCCCAGTGCATCATGTCAGCATGGGGCACTCCAGGCTCCTTTGCTGGTGTTCTTGGACCTCAGTGACCGGGAGCAGGGAGGTAACAGGCAAATGCAGAGGTGGAGCAGGCTGTTCCCTCCTCGGCGTTAGTCTCTCTTACTTGACATTTTTATTGTATTTCTCAGCTCATTTTGCATTCCTGGCTGTTCGTCTTTGCCTACTAAACTTCCACCGCTGTCATAAAGCTTTGTAAGTCACATATCCTGGAAGAATATTTGGTCTATATATCATTTCTATTTTCCTGAGAACTTTGACACATTAATGAACACAAATGATAACTCTGCTGTTGGATGCTTTTTCAAAACTGACCTGCCCTCTGTCCCTTGCTGTCTTCATCGTATGCAATAGCATCAGTATTTCTTTTGGGAAACGTCTCTTAATCTCATTGCCCCATCCAAAGTTGTGCTAGACCAGCTGTTTGTGAGGCTGAATGGTGAATCAGATCGAAGAATCTACCGGTGTTAAAAAGAAGGTGGTAAAAAAACCCCACAAGCATTGGGTCTATTCCCCGGGGACAAGACGGTTCAACGAGCACCACGGGAGGAGCAGCAGAGATGCAGGAGAGAAGGGTGGTTTAAACCAGTCCTGCTCTTGAAACGCTTACGAACTAATTCCCTCTACTTGGAACTTGTTGCTTTTATAGGAACCAATTACTGTAAACTTTATTGGAGGATGAGGAAGTTAAATTCTCTGAAGTCATCCTCCTTTCTGTGCTTTCTTACCAGTTTTTACTTTTTATCCTGAGGTCTCCACTTAAGGGATATTTTTGTCCATTTTTGTTCGCTCTTCTTTCATCATCAGTGTAACAAAGAGCAAACATTGTTTGGATGTTTGAAAATAGAAGATGAAGAATCATACTTCTGAGATTTTTTTCAAGTCTAATGCTAAAATATATTAAAACAGAGTGAAGTCTGCGCAGGAGGAATTGAGCAGTGTGGGGGAAATGAGTTGGCTGTGAAGGTCAGGATGGCCAGCTCCAGATACTGTACTTGTGGGGTTTGCTTTTTAAGCATGTAAGTGGGAAATGTGACCCTTTACCATGTTGTTCATTCATGGTTCCTTGGGTTTTTTACTGAACACATTAAGCCACGCTGCTTTATTAGTGCCTTGAGAGACCTCACATAATTGTTGTTATTTTGTACATACATTTCAATTATTTTATTAATGAAAATTGAAGGATTACATAATGAAAACATTCATACAAAGCAGCTGCTCTTTCATGTTTTGTAAATGTGAATTTCTCTCTCAATATGAGACAGATAATATCTTCTTTAGGTATGAGGTTAATCCCTTAAATTTTCTTTTCTTTGCTTTTTTGTATTTAGCTGCAGTTATTCTGCAAACTCCACCACATATGGCATGTATTGCAGCTGATGAAATAGTATTGCTACTAAGAAAAATCAACTAAAGTGCCTGCAAGAAACTATATCTGAGATGAATTTTGGTGCACATGAAATGTTGTTGCCAGATATGTGCGTATGCCTGTCTCTCTAGTGCAAGTAGTGTGAATCGGACTGTGCCCTACAGATTTAGGAGTCTCTTTCTCCTTGGAGTTGGTAGTGGTCTAGGTTCCTGTTGGCATGTTGAATAAGTAGTAGTACTACTCTAGAGAGCTTTAGGATTCATCCGAGGAGTTGGTTCAGTGCAGGATCAACAAGTTATGTATTTCAATAGGTCAGTGAAATAGCTTTTTTTCTTTGAAACCAGATTCCTGGACTGTCTATATTTGCAAAAGGTATGTGATATTCTGAATGTTGTGTTTGTGAAAGTGCAGCTGCAGTAGAAACTCTCATCCTTCGTGAGACAGAGGAACGCGATAAAAGAGAGCTTGTAGGTTGTGACTAATGCAGTAACAGAGCTCTGGGAATATGGAGAATGGGAAGATGTTACTGTAGATAAGTGTGAAAATTTTTGTAAAGACTTTGTGCCGGCTCTTTCTTCTACAACAACTCTGATCAATGCACTGATCCATTGTGATCTTCAAAGCAAATTCGCGGAACTGCATTTGCTGTAGCTATATTTTCTCAATACAGTTTGGCAGGAGCTGAATGGCAGATGTTCACATGTGAAACTTCTTCTTCCAGGTCCTGCTTTGCTGCTCACCAGTGATAACATCAAACAGCGACTTGGTTCTGCTGCGCTGGACAGGTGCGGCCCTCATTATTACTTACGAAAAAATGCAGAAGGATGCTGTGCTGGTACTATAAATATACAATGTTTGGGAATAAAATCCTGTGTTCTAACATATATTGTGCTTTCTCATCAAGGTATTTGGGACAACAATGTTTCAAGAGTATTTGGTTCAAGTGTGGGTGTTTTTTTTCCATAGTTACTTTCTCACTTGTGAAATCGGAAAAGCTGAATTGCTCCAAGTGGGGATTGTGTACTTGTTCTTAGGGATGCCATGGAAGTCTTACTGAAGTTAGGCATCACTGCATCCTCTTTCCTCTGTGTGTATATCTAGTGGTATAAATAATGGAGAAATAAAGAAAACATGAACCTGAAATGTGAGCACATAAGGTTCTCAGACTGGATGAGCAAGAGATGCACGTCTCTAATGCCCTTCAGATTTTGTGCTTGACATATAAGACTTCTCTGTACTCTGTTAGAAGCTGTGATGTAAAACCATTACAATTTTGTGTTTTGTTTGTGTTTTTTTTTTTTTCTGTCCCCAGTATCCATGAATACCGACTAACTAGCTGGCTGGGACAGCAGGAGGATATTCACCGTATTGTGCTTTACCAGGCAGACAGCACCCTTACTCCCTGGACTCAGCGCTGCATCCGGCAGGCTGACTGCATCTTGATCGTTGGCCTGGGAGACCAGGAGCCCACTGTTGGAGAGGTGTGCAAATAGCTCCTTCCCTTATTTGCAGTGTTAACAGCCTAGATCAAAGAAGGTTGTTTCATACTCATGAATTTTCCTGGGTTTAATACCCAGTGAAGCATAAATAATGAAATATTCCTGAGAAATGTGTATTATAAATAGAAAAAGAAATTAATGAGGATCCTCTGAAATGGCAAGCTTTATGTAGATGTATTTCCAGCTAAGTTCTTTTCCTCTAAGGAGTCATTTTGGCCAATGGTAAATCAAAAGTCAAATTGCTTTGAAACTTTGCATTTCTGTCCAGAAATTCTTTGCAGGATCTCCAGATAGAGAGGGAAATTCTTTTCTGCCCAGATGGAATTCATGGTGTGTGCGTGGGAAAAAGTAGATATAAATTGTATTGTAGGAATAATTTAATATATTTTATTACAGATTGTAAGCTGTATTTTTTTTTTTTTTCCCTTACTATCTATTTTTATTTTTGATTTTTTATTACGGGTGTTGTTTGACCAGGCACAGAAATTCTGCAAGAAATTTAAAAATGAGGTCACAAGTGAGTTTTATAGGATTGTCAGGTGCTGAGTCTGACCTCCAAAGAACCTGGGACTGGTACCATCTGCAGCGTTCTTGTGTGTCGCGCCGTGTTGGTTCTTCATGACTGTGTGTGGGAGGCAGGAAGCACAGTAAAAGCAAGTCTCCTTCAGTTGCCTAAAACAACAGAAAAATAAAAATAAGGAATGCAAGGAGGAAAAAGTGGTCTGATTGGAAATGAAAGAACAAAACATACTGAACATTTGTAGGCTTAAATATGACTTGGGAAGCAATCTCATTTTGCATGAACAGCATGTGTCTGTGCTGTGCATTTAATGATCTATGTTTTAGGTAAAAAGCATTCATTTTTAAGCATTCAGGTTTGAATCCTTGTCTGGTTTTAGAGTTCTGTATGCTAGGTAAGCCCACAGCTAACAATGTAGTTGTCTAAATCAATCTTGTTTGAGGGTTCTTAGTGTGCATAGTTGTCTGTGGATTCAGATAGGAGTAGGGGTCAGATGTATATATCTATGTGTGGGCATATATATATTTCACAGTACATTATTGTGTTAAACTGATACTGGAGCAGTAAATACCCGATGCCCTCATTCCTTTGGTGTGTATAATGTGCTGTAGCTGGAGAGGATGCTGGAGAACACTGCGGTCCGAGCCCAGAAGCAACTTGTCCTGCTCCATAAGGAGGATGGGCCTCTCCCTTCCCGAACTGTGGAATGGCTCAACATGCGGAGCTGGTGTTCTGCTCATCTTCATCTCCGCTGTCCGCGCAGAGTCTTTTCCAAAAGAAGCCTGCCCAAGCTGGTAAGAGATTCCTGCTTTGGTGACTGGTCCCTTAGGTGTAGTACTTTATGTGTAATCCATGTATCAAAGATAGTCGGAGATAATGATACTACATGATATTCTGATGCTCAACTGACTGTTACACAGACAGTGTTCTCTTTAAATCTGTTTGGCCTCAATTTGCTATAGGAAACATAGGGATAAGGGACTCATGTCGTCTTTATGGATGCATACTTGGCTTTTTGGTATACTGAAGACAGTAAATATTATCTCAAGGTCATATTGATAGGTGTGTGCATGTGGTAGAGTCCTTTTCACTAGGAGGATCCCCGTGCTTGTGAAAACCGTACTAAAGGTAAAGCAGAGGCAGACTTGGGATGCTTCCCAGTAACTTCAAATCCTTGTCAAGAAAATGAAATAGCTCCAAAGAAAATACCATACGATGATGAAATTCTCCTAGCTACTATAAAAGTATGAGAGATGCATATGATCACTAGTACTGTTTGGAAAGTTCATTAATGCTCTTCTCGTTTGAAGAATGGCTATCTCCTTTTTAACAGTATGTTGTTGGCTGGTAGTGTAGACTCTACCCTACCTTTAGAATGACCATCTTCTGCCTCTCTTCTGCAGATAGAGATGTACGAACGCGTATTCCAGAAACCACCAGACCGTCACTCTGACTTTTCTCGCCTGGCGCGTGTTCTGACTGGAAACGCCATTGCGCTGGTGCTTGGGGGCGGAGGAGCAAGGTAGGTGTCTTATCCTGGGCACGCTGATGCATTGCTGCCAGGTTCTAGAGCACCGGTGTCACTGGGCTGCGACAGGTTCTGCAGGATAACAGGCATCCTGTAAAATCACCACTGTTCTGTAAGCAGTGTTTGGGGGAGACACCGAGCAGTTGCTTTTGGTACACAAACTTAACTTGCTGTGTGGATTTGTGCTTGGATTTCTGCAGAAGGAACAGGAGTGTTTGTGACCTCTTGAGACCTCTCGTAAGCTGGACTGAATACCAGGAGATGACCAGGGCACTAAATATGGCACTTCTTTCTTTTGTTGGCCTACACTATGGATTTTTTTCCCCTATGGGTTCTTATATTAGAAAATGGCTCACAATATTTCAAAGGCCTCCAAAGCTCTTAAAAGTTTGAGCAGCAAGAGGAATTATATCCTCTAATGGGAGAATGTTCTCTTTTTATAATCGCCCAAAACCCCAGGTACCTACACACTTCTGACAGCATTACTTTATAGAAAGATTGTAGTTTTGCAGACACGAGGGCAAGGTGCGTGCTGAACACTCTATTAGAATTCCATCTGAATTCCTGGTGAGCTTTGGAAATAAGTTATTACTGACGTTTTTCTTTGGAATCCCTTTTTACTTTGAGAGTTTTATGTTGAGACAGAATTTAGTAGCCCTTTGTCCCAAGAGAGCGCCATCTTCGTTGTCTTCATCACCATGTTCTTGAAGCTCTTCTTTAAAAAGTGCTTTGAAATACTGCTCTTAAAAATAAAAAATATAATTTGTCTATTTAAGTCCACAGAAATATCACGTTTTTGTCTTTGGGCCAGTGCGTGCTTTGGGGAGAGTATTCATTACAGTAAAGGTTAGAGCTCCTTTGTGACAGCTTGTTCTGATTAGTCACTTGATGCTGAGACAGCCAGTGCTGTGGCTGTTTCTTTGAGTGGCTGCAAAGATGCCTTTATCCTGCTTGCTTTCACAGTTTCCTCACCTAAGATGATTTCAGTATTTCATTTCTGAGATAAGCACTATCCCGTGGAGACACAAAGCAAAGGGGAGGAGGGGAGCTTCTACTTAATCTGAGTATCTCAGGAAGCTTCTAATTGATTGATGCAAAGTAGTCGTGAGGTTTTTTTTGTTACAAGCTACCTGATATCTCTGTCTCCGCTGAAACCTGTGTCATGCTAAAATATGTGCACTTCTGTATTTCTGGCAGCACATTTTGCTCATTCCCTTCCTTTCTTCCTTGTGTAAACACTGCTGTAATTTTTGCCAAACTATTCATTTTTGTTCTACTACTTAATTTCCAAGCTACCACCTGCTGGTTTTCAAGAGCAGAGGTAAGAAAGAGCAGGATTATTGAGCCTGTGTGTTGGTCCTGTGTTGTCCTCCTCCGCAAAGCTGAACTGCTGCGCTGCTGCTGTGTTGGCTTTAGGATTTCTGGATGCGCTCCACCCATTCAGCAATGTGACCATGTGCTATTAGCCGTTAATTTGCTCATTTCTGCATCCCTGCAATATGGAGGACTTTAAGAGGATTAAATGGCAGAACAGATAAATACGGTATTTTCTTCTTTCTCTGAAACCCTACTTATGTCATGGACTAAAGTACTTTTTCTGAGGGTTCAGACTGGCACGTGGATGGTGTGAGCATTGTGTTTTCAATGGAAAGGTACAGAATGCTATTTCTGTAGTTGAATTGTCATCTAAATTATGGAAAGATTAAAGATTTGGATTTCTTAGAAGTTTGTTTTCGAAGTGAGAATATAATTAAGACCCTGGGGAAAGGACAAAGTTTCTCTATAAAAATCTACCTTTGGAAGTTCAAAGTAAGTTCTTAGGTCCCCATCTCTACTAACAAGGGAACATCAAGAGATTATACACTAGGCACTTAAAATCATCCTGTGATTAAAGGCCATTCTGGCTATCTTGATGGGTTGCTGCACGGACTCTTGATAGTTAGCATAGCCTTTGGATAATATACTACATCAAGTAACCTCCTACCTTGTTCTAGAAGCATGAATCATACTGGTCATGAAAACCAGAGCGAGCAAATAGTTACAGGGTGCTGGCTGGTGGTTATTTCTGTTAAAGGTATTGTGTTCTGTGACTCCAGTAATATCAATTATTTAGTTGTTATTTTGGGAATGTTTGTCTGGCTTCCCAGTGACAGTCAGTTTGGGAGGTTTTAGCAGAGCAGCTTCCTAGTAATTATCTTTGTGGTTTGTCATGACAAAGGGCTCATAGGAACTAAAGGTTTTCTTCCTCTTGTGAGTATAAAAATAAAACAAATCGAAGTGATACAGTTCTAAAATTATATAGCGTTTTGCTTTTGTTAAGTGCTGACTTAATTTCAGTTAGAAACATTGTGGAGTTTGAGGGAAGGAAAGGGGATTTGCATTTAGAAAAATAATACCTTTGAAATGTAGTTGCAAGAATAATGACATATCAAACCCTACAACAAAGGCATAAACCCTCCCATAAATCATTCTCATGACCTTTAGCCATCCCAGGTACAGCCCCTCCTTTCTTTGGTTTTCTATAGTTGTCTTAGCAAAGCTTTTTGAAAACTAAAATTTACAGGGAGTAAATAATTGATACAGAAGTATCTAGGAATCTCTAGGGATTTGGGGAAAAAAAAAATGGGTCGTGCTGTTTCAGAAGACTGACTTAAGCACAGTTGTGATGGTAAGCTTTGTTGTTGATTATAATGTCGTTATTCTAGGAGTGAGTTTGGTCCAATGTGCCTATTTCACATAGGCATAATGGGAAAATACAAATTAGACCTGTTCCAGTTTGCTTATTTTGATAAGAAGCTGTATTTGCAGTAATTCACATGATACAAATACATGATGTACATAAGATATGCTTATTGAGAAGGAAAGAGCTATTGTTAAAAGAAGTTACGTGCCTTTTTTTGTTGTGCTATCTACAATAAGGCATAATTACCAGCTGCACATTCATGCTGGGAATGAATGCACGTGGTGCCAGAGACCTTTACCAGATGGTACTCGTGGAGTCTGCGCGTCCTGCCCCATCCGTGCTACGTGATGCAGCATGCCGTGCCTTTCCCTTCTCTCCACTGCCCTTTCCTTCGGGCAGAGCATTTAAGCCTTCCCTGAGGAGCTGCTGTGGAAGGATATTTGTAGATATTTCATCAGGGCATCTTTTCATTTGTCCTTTTTCCGTTTCGTTTTCTCCTCAAACTTATTATTTCACCTCTGCTCTTGATATGTCACATAGGTTTTTTTCCACAGAGCTTTCTTGCTGACACTAAGGATTTGACTCAGACTCACGCCTTTTCATTTTGGACAGTTGGCCTATTTCATCAACTTGTTCTTTCTGCCTCCTCGTCTTTATTTTCAGCTCTGGCCCTCTGAAAAGGGAGGATAAAAGCAGAAGCATAGGAGAAGCAAGTTATGCTTTTCTTGTTATGGAGATACTTGTGTCTGATGAACCCACGTGTTGTCTCGTCTGTGTGTCTTGGGTCTCTGTGCTCCTTAAAGCCTGGCTTTATCTTCTGATTTGATGGCTTTACCCAGTGATGAAAAGGCTAAAAGAGTCCCCAAGAGGCACATCTCGTAATTGTTCTGCTCTCAGTAGATCACATTTGCCTTCTGCACTCTCAATGTTGGACTCCAAGACCTCTGATTGCACAAGGAGTAAAACAAGGAGGCTTTACTGTCGCTACGTCCGTTATGTCTGGCTGCAACTCCAGTTCATTCAGGCAGATTTGAGTAAAAACCTGCTTATCAGTCTTACTTACCTTCTCTGTCACCAAACACTGATCCCTTGACACAACTGTTCATCCAGAAGGCACAAAGACAGAATTTGTTTGTGCTTAGTTTGCACTGGGACAAAGATTGGCAGGTTATGAGTAATCCCTAGCGTAGTCAGGTTGGGCAAAACTGCATTCTGCTGTTGGAAGGAACTAAGGGATGTACAGGTCAGATTGTCCTATATACATGGGTCAAGCAAGGAGAAGGTAGGGCATGCTCACACCTACCTTGGGATGTGGTGGATGCACATTTGCATCTCCCAGTGCAGCTACAAGGAACTCTTATTTGATGGCTGGGTCCAATGTGGCAGCACGTTGAGAGGTTTCCCAGCTGTCACTGTGTCCCTTTGTGTTTCTGAGTAGTCATGGTAGAAAAGAATTGATGAAAAGCTCCCAAAATAAGATAAGGAAAAACTTGGAACAGTCATTTTGAGAATTTCAGAAGATCATATTCCTTTTCTGAATGTTGATGCATGCTTTAGCATGCAAGTTTGACTCGGAGGTGAGGAGCTCTTGCATATGAACAAACCCTGTGGTGCTTCCCCTGCTCCATCTTCTTTTAAAAGGAATTGAATTTGGGTGTTGATGACCTGGCCTATCCATGTAAAACACTTGAAAGCAAGTAAATGCTATGCTGTAAGGTGTTCTATTCCTACTGTAGTGTCTGCACATGGCTGTCCTCTGGGGCAGAGAGCCTTCTGGGGAGCTCCCAACTGCCTTTAGCAGACGAAGGGACGTGTTGCTGATGTTCCATGGCCTGTAACGCAGTACTTTAATTACACTCCCAACAATTAAGTGATATCAGAGTTGGCATAAGTGCAGAGGCTGAATTTGCCTTGTGCTCATGGGAGGAGTCAGAAATGATTAATAAAGATACTAGTATGTTTTGGGGGTTGTTTTGTTTTTCTGCCTGGTTTGTTATCCTAACTTGGAGAGGAGCCTTAAAATATCAAAAACCTTGTGGTCTCATCCCAGGTGAGGGGAGGCTGTTTCTTAATTCTGTCCTATTCTCATGATGATTGAGAACAGGAGATATTTTGTGGTTACCCTGTTACTTAGTTGCTCGATGCTTCCTACTTATTTGGATTTTACCGTCTTAACTCTGAGAAACTTCACTTCTTCATTGCATGATGCAGGTCTTCGGTGTTTGGCAAGAGGATCACTGCAGGCAACAGAAATTCCACTTTCACATCCTGTGAAGTTCTCATCAGCTTTTTCCTGAGAGAGGCTACAAAC